TGAAAAATTTTATTATTCAAAACAAATAGACTCGTTATTTATGTGTAATAGTTGTATTTTATCAGTAAAATAATATTAAAATGGATTTTTATTACTTTTTTTAATAACGTCAAATGACACGACGTACAAGTCGTGCACCTAATGGTATACTACACGTCTGTCCATAACAGTTGTAGTGCTACTCAGAGCTTTAAATCTCAAAGATCTGAGAGGGATCTGTAATTTCACCAGCACCTTTACCTTTCAAAATTCTAACACAGTAATGCTGACATAACTGCTTGGCGGCAGAAATAGGTAAGGTGGCAGTACCCTGGACGAACTCTTTCACAAGGAGCTCCACTGCTACCAGTGCTACCCTGGACGAATTCTTACTAAGTAATACTTTGTAGTACCGAATACTTTACTAAGTAAAACTAAATAATATTACTTATCTCACTTGTCTAGGTTAACCAATATCTTAGGCCAATGGAAATTGTGATAATATATGGAGCCGTCGTAACGGATAAGGGCCTATGTAATTATCGTTAATCTATTCGACGATAACCGAGAATCGTGTCATCAAATACCTCTTGACACGCTTCAAACGTGTCTTACTAATGAAATCTATTTTCACACCTATTGCATCGCTTCCATTAATTTACGCATTACCACAGCACCGGAATTAATAACTTACAAGTTGTTTTTTTAAATTTACAGGTAATTTCGAATAAACGATATTTGTAAATCATTTTGAGACTGAGTGTTCCGATTCCATTTTTGAAACTTGTAGAAACTCTATAGAACTAGTTAATAACATGGAGTTCTTTTTTTAATTTACATGTGTACAGATGATTTCAAATGCACGATATTCTAAGTCACTTTTAGGCTGACTGTTCCAATTCCGTTTTTAAAACCTATGAAAATTCTTATAGAAATAATTAATAGACTGGGGTTCTTTTTTTAATTTATAGATATTTCAAATACATGAACTTATAAAAATGTACACAAAAGTATTCTGAACAGATGGGGTTTTTTTTTTGTATTTCCACATCAAAATATATTATAAAGATGTTAATATTAACTTAAAAAGATAAATAATACATTTTACCTCTTGAAAATGGAGAGTATGAAAATTCCTACTGGAAAAATATAATTTTCAGGTGTTTTATTTATAATCATTATGTCAGTCCATCATTGTCATTTCTCCCAAATTAGAAGAAACAAACGCCTTTCCGGTCTTTTTTATAAGCTTTATTAAGCGACCAGACCCTCCAAAATAAACATCGTCCGTCTACACGATAGCGCCTCGTCATACAGTTAATGGGCCATTGAGAGAGATAACGTCGGGATTTCGACTCAGGTCCCGCATTCCCGGGAATGTAATTCAAGAGCTGTCATTACGTAATTCTTTACATTTGAAATCTGTAGAATGTTGTGATAAATCTGGTGAAGATTATTGTGTAAATAAAAATTATACATGAATAATAAGAAGTCTTTTAAAGACAAATAATTATTATATTTGCGAAAAAGGATTACGTCTGAGTGTTTTAGAACAGATAAAAGTAATTAATACAATGCAATAGAGCTCCTTGTGCAAGAGTTCGTCCAGGGAAGTACTGCCACCACACCTATTTCTAACTGCGTTCCGGTTGGGAAGGGTATTGGTAAAGTTAGAGGCACGTGGGACTTGTCAACGTACGTCTCAGGGTAACGGGCGCAGTGGCAGTGCCCCTCAGATCTTTGCGATTTAAAACTCTGAGTGGCCATGCAAATATTATGGATATGCGTGTCGCTTACCACCAGGCGCACCACTTGTTCGTCCCGTCGCTTTATATTATAATAAAATCAAAGTAAAAAATCACGTTTATAGCGTTAATTTTTAAATTATAACGTTGGTAACAGTAGGGTACAAATATGATGAACCGTTTTGAGCAATCTTATTCTTATGCCTAGCGTTGAAGAATCAACATCTCATCAAGTATAAATTTTAGTTATGTTGTGAACTTTAAAACTATATAAAAAGGCGATTATCACTTGGAAAGGATATTATTTTGCGTGATAAATTTCATTTTATTTAAATTTTTTTCAAAGATCAATTTTATAAGTTTTATATTTAATGTAAGTATTTCAAATTTGAATTTTTAATTATAATGAAATTTGTTTTGTTGTCATTTTTGTAATTTATTTTAATTACAATTTTATGTTCTTTATAATTAGTTTTTGTTATCAGTTTAGTTTATTTATTAATGTATTTGGTTTAAGATTTTAATTTAATAATTTCATATCGAGTTAATTATTCTGAAATAAATGATTTAATTTGATTATGCTATGTACAATTTCGTTACAGTTACGTTTTTGTTCAGCGGCAATGTAAATTGTGCCTAAGCGGCAAAAAGTAAATAAATGGAGCAAGGAAAAAGTTTAATCAAGGACACGGGGCTAATTAGTTTCTGCATAAACGAATTAAATGACAGTGACAAGAGACTCGTTAATATAAATTTGGTAACGCAATTAGTTTAATTCCTACACGGAAAAAAACTGTGATTTATAAAACTAAATAAATTTATCTTAACACATTCGTGCGGGCATCGTGCTTTTGCCGGTTGGTGCGCTGTGGTGGATATTTTTCTCATACCTTAATGCAAGCGTTTAAAAACGTTACTTTTTTTGTAATATGTCCATAACAGTTACAGTGCAACTTAGAACTTTAAATCGCAAAGTTCTGAGGGGCACTGCCACTGCGCCCGTCACTCTGGGACATAAGTTGACAAATCAAATGTGCATGTACTTTCACCAGCACCCTTACCCTTCAAAACCGAAACACAGTAATGCTGACATTACTGCTTGGCCGCAAAAATACTACCTTAGACGAACTCGAAAGTTTTCTGTGTACCGTTTTTGCATGTAAGCAATAAGGTGTATATCTATCAAATATAAAAGCAGTTTTAATAAAATAATAATAATAAATCTTTATTGACTCAATACAATTGCACGGTATCTTAAAAACGTGACGTTATTATATGAGGAACATTTTAAGAGTAGAATAGAATGAAGAACATTTTAAGAATAGAAGAATTCATTTATTACAATACCACAAAACAAAAAGATATGGTTGAACGTTAGAGCCCGTACTAGTTTTAAATAAAACTGTGTGACAGACGCTACGTCTTCCACAGGATTTAATTTACAAACATTATATTGCCAAACATTGTACATGATAAAGAATATAAGCAAAATAATTAAATTATACCTTCGCGAATTATTACACTAATTATAACACGACGTACAGCAGCACTTAAAATAACGGTTCTTAAAGCCTTCTAGAAGCTTCCCGCCTCTTTATCACCCTTTTCTCTGCTTCCTGGCCACTTACTTTTGAAATTTCGAATCGTTCTTTAATTCTTTTTTCGTTACTCTTACTTTACTTCGTTCTGTTGTCACTCCCAACAGATTTCTCGAGGACAAAAGACGTGTCCTTCAATTATGTAAACCTAACTGCTTATAAAGCAGTAATATATTTCAAACCCGCGTAACATTATTATATTCCTCGAGTCTGTGGATCGGATATATTTCAGTGCTTACAATGCTCGTCGCGTCCGGTATTATAATACCTTCAAGTTGCTTTTACAGCTGAAATTAAATTACAGGCACATGAGACGTGTCAACTTATGTCTCAGGGTGACAGGCGCAGTACATTACAACTACTATGGACAGGCGTGTCGCTTTGTACTATAAGTCATAGGTTCCCAAACTTTTTGGTTCACCGCCCACCTAAGCAAGACAAAAAATAATTCAACGCCCACCACCACAAAAATTAATTGAAAACACGTGTTTTTTATATTAATTTAACACAAAAAAATCATAATGAAAAAAAATTTTTTTTGTTGTGTACTTTATATAGATAATTCAGATTTATTTTTTTAAATGCGGTATCACCCCTTGGACAGTTTCAACGCCCCCCGATTGCTTCCGAAGCCCCTCGGACTCTTTAGCGCCCATCGGGGGGGTCAGTAGGGACCACTTTGGGAAACTATGCGATAAATCATTAAAAATCTTAGCATAGTCTCGCGCTGTTCGGACAACATTTGCCTGTCGACAGTACAACTCGCAAGCATCTTTTGTTCACAATTCCTATAACAAAACGTTTCTAATTTATCTCATGCAACGGTGCGATTGTAAGAAAGAGTTAAATCAATGTTTGAAAACCCTAACATAATGGGGAAGTGTAGATATGTTTATTTACAGAGAGCAACCTCTAGAGTTCTTACTCATTTTTCTCAGGGGAATCTGCCTTATGATGAAAAGTAAAGTTTAGTCAATGTGGTGATTTCAAATATAATTTATTTACATATAAAATAAAGCTTATTGGAATTTGAGTTAAGTTTGAACTGTAACGTTACAGCTCAACTGCTACATCTGATTGCTCGCTGATGTGGAAACTCTCACAGAGGCCAATTTCATTATAAGTTATTACATATTAATCTAGGCTAAGTTCTACTAACAAACAGACCTTCAAAATATTGACAGCAATAAATAAATAAAATGAAAATCTTTTATTTTCACACAGCATAGCCCCATAGTTTGTTAGTAAGCATCCTTATACTATATTAGTAACAACTGAGTGTATGGTGTATATTTGGTGTATATATATATGAAGTGTGCATTAAAATTTTTCATAATCGAGATCTAAAATTAATAAAAATACATAATATAAAATTCACTGAAATAGTAACAATTTAGTCAAAAGTAAAAATTTAAAATAACTAAAATTTAAAATTAAGAAAATAAATTAGCAAATAAAATAATAATTATTAACTGGACCACAATTAAAAATTTTAAAAATTATATGTCATAGGGAAATCCATTACACTACAATTACAATTACTTACTTAGTCACTATTTATTAAATATTAATAAATGAATGAATAATTGAATAATGAAACAAATGAGTAAAAAATAAATTAATAAATGAATAAATAATTATTATAGAGTTTTACTAAAATTATTTTTTTCTGTTCCAGGTTTAAAGACCATCATCAACGCATTGCTCCACTCCTTCAAGCAACTGGCGGAGGTCATGACCCTCACGATTTTCTGTCTGATGGTGTTCGCGCTGTTTGCACTGCAGGTCTATATGGGGGAGCTGAGGAACAAGTGCGTTAAAAATCTCGTCTTACCACCTGGAGAGAATTTCACTGATGAACTTTGGGCGCAGTGAGTACGATTCAACATTTAATTTAGATAAATAGTCTTTGCAATCATACGATTCAACGTTAATACTAAAATATCTTTTGTTTGCTTTCAATAAATAATAATAATAACCACACACTCATAACCCTATATCGCGGGTGTCATGGACACTCACATAGACAACCACAAATTACATCCAAACTCACGAGAGAAATAAATGTAGGCCAAACAAATATTTCTCCCGGCCCGGGAAATGGAACCCGGAATCTGTGTGGTAGTCCAGCATGCAACCATTCGGCCACGGTTAATATCCTTTACGCGTATGAGTTTTAATTTAAATGCATATTGAAGAACAATAAAATATTTATCGAGTTCTTAAGTTTTTGCGATTGTTACACATAGGAAATGAAACTATTTTTCCGGATTTAAATCGCGTATATTTGTTTTTTCAAACAAACCGACGTTTCGAGCCCTTTACAGGTCCCATGGTCACGGTTGACTGAGGTGGTACAGTCTTCGTCGGTTTGTTTGAAAAAACAAATATACGCGATTTAAATCCGGAAAACTAGTTTCATTTCCTAAATAAAATATTTATTTATTGAATATGGTGATGTTTCATAACCATTCTTACGTTTTTTGTGAAAATACGCCACTAGTTTGTTTTATTGTTGGTACAAAGATTGAACCCAAAAAAATGGTTCAATATGATTATACTCGTACCAGTGTATGTTGACATGGTAACACTTTCTTTTCTTTCTTTGTGTTCGATCAATAATAATAACAAACAATACTATTTGTATTGTTTGTAAATATATTTATTTACTGCTTTAGAAGTATCGAGTCCTATTGGATACCAACAAAACAAATACTTAAAATCTTTGATACGCTGTCAGAAATTAATCAACGGATGTGAAACATTGTTTTGTGCACCGCTCAACAGTTTAATGTTAACCTTAAACCAATTAGCATAGAATTCAAAATGAATCGTACAGAAATATTTTTTATACTCTATGTTAGTAATCGAATCTCTGGGGAATGAGTTTTCTGTATGTATGTATGTATGTATGTATAATAATAGGTATTCTGGGTTAGACAATATGTGCCGCTCCGCCGCCTCTGACGATTCTTCCACGCCATAGCCGCCGATTAACTGGACCGGCGTAAAACCGGCGTGGCGAAAATGTATTGTATTGTAAAGATATATCACTTTATTTGTTAATTATTCACCATAGTTCAGATAAGTACAATGTTTCTGGATAATTAAAACGAATTACATTCCTGTCCACGTACACATCCTCCACTTGACTTATATGAAGAGCGTTTGTTTTTAGTAACACTTCATACATACTTGCTAAAAGTACAAATTAAAGTGTAAAGAATTTTGAAAATGTATTTTTTCTGAGAGTTCGATCTTTGTATTAATAATTATAAAAATTTAAAATACAGTGAATAGCGACATCTCTCACCAAGACTGGTAGCTGTACTAACTGGGTGATAAATTTTTCATAGATTTCTCATAGATGGCGCTACGACTCAAAAGTCGTTGAAAAGCCAAATACAAAGCTACAAATACAAAAAAAAAGACACGACACGAGCACATAGAAAAATTCGTGAGGTCCGCTGGTTCGTTCCCTGGCTTAGTTGGTATAGCGTCTGCCACGGTAAGCTGGAAGACGTCGGTTCGAATCCGGCCGGATCGAAGGATTTTTTTCTGACTGTTCGATCTTTGCATTAATAATTATAGCAAACTAGTGGAGTAATTTCACAAAAAAATAATTAAATATCAATTCAATAAACATCTTAAATGTATAGAAATTTTTAAGTTTATTGAATGTGACGATGTTTGACCACTATGATATTTAATTATTTTTGTTTAATTATTACTTGGTACTTGGTGTAACGGGCTGGTGTCCGCAACTCGTCGTTATGGCGCCTATTTTCGTTAAATTATTAATACAAATATCGATCACTAAGATACTTTATAGAAAGTTTTAGTGTTTTTTAAACACCTGATACATACATACCAAGCCGATTTCAGGTAGGTCACGCCACGGGTCGAAAAAACATCTGACGCCGCCGCCGACGACATTACGATCGGCGCACATCAGTATTCGGGGTTAAATCTTCAATCAATAGTACATACATATAGAATACTCACGATAAAAAGAAAATTATTAAAACATCCGCTCAACACGTTCGATAACATACGCAATCTCCTCTAGAAAGTTATATTAACACATTTTTAACCGACTTTAAAAAGGAGGTTCGATTTTTTGTACATATGTTACGCGATTACTCCGGCATTTGTGAAGCGATTTTGATGATTCTTTTTTTATTAAATAACGCAAACACTCAGCCCCGCACTAGGGAAACCTTGTATCGCGGATGAACACACACATAGATAACCACAAATGACACCCAAACTCACGAGAGAAATAAATGTAGGCCATACAAATATTTCTCCCCGCCCGGGAATCGAACCTGGGACCTCTGCGTGGCAGTCCACGATGGTGACCGTTTGGCCACGGAGGCAGTTATTGGAAAGAGGGTACTTCGATATTGGTCCCATTTAAATTTAGAGAAAATATTCCACTTCTAAGGTTCGTATTCTAGGACTCTATTCAATGCTCAAGTCAGGATTGCACTGGCAACACACGCACTGGAAATACGACTCTAATGGCAGGGACTTGAGTACGATTTCGAGTGCTTTACACCATTCTCAAATCCTGACTTGAGCATTGAGTAGAGTTCTAGAATACGACCCTAAGAGTGACAAACTAGGGGATGAATCAGGTTTCGCGCACTTTCCGGTAACCGATTTCAACAAAACTTGGCCAATAGATGTAAATCCACGAACTATTGAGGTCGATTTTTAAAGTTGTTAGCAAAAAACTTCTCGTCTTTTCACAGGTGGATAAAGGACCCACTGCACTGGATGGTGGACAACGATGAAGTGCCTATAATTTGCGGAAATCTGACCGGGGCAAGACATTGCCCGTTGGAGTACACCTGCCTGTGTGTGGGGCCCAACCCTAACCATGGATTCACGAACTTCGACAACTTCTTGTGGTCGATGCTTACTACTTTCCAGTTGATTACGCTGGATTATTGGGAGGATGTGTATGATATGGTGAGTCCTAATAATAATATTATTGTTTTAAGAATTTGTTTTAGACTCTCACCATACTACCTATAATGAGACAGGTTGGGCAACTTGCCTGTTTGGCGCGTAAAAGCCTACATTTCGCTCGGAGCGCAGGGTTGTCACATTATTATTTGAGTTGTACCTACAGGTTGTAAACGTAATTTAAAACTTGAAGGTGTTCATAATAGTATTCTCGTGTTATATTGAAATAATTTCTGTTAAATGTAGTACTTCAGTATTGATATTTTTTATATTACAAATAAATATATCTCTATCTCTGTCTCTCTCTCATATTCATATTCATTTATTTGCATTTCACATGCATGATACAGATTAAACTTACATTTTTTTTTTGTTTTTTTGTGAAATTCTGTAAGGGTGTAGCAAAGTTACAATGAAATTTAAATACGTTACAAGCTTGAATGTAGTTATTTACTTTAGATAATTAATTATATTATTGTTTTATCAATAAACATCATTATTACATTATATTTGTATCATTTATATAACTTAAATTATTTATTTTATAATTATTATGAAACATGTTACATGTACTGTTACATTTAATGTAATTTCATTTATTGCAATTCACATTTTAATAAACTCAAGACATACATGTGATTCCCTGTAAAGGCGTAGCACAATTTAAACTTGAACCTAATGATACAATTATTTCAATATTTATTTTATTTTTATTTATTCATGTTAAACTATAACTATTTACAAATATAACTAAAATAAACAGTGAAATAGGTCAATTTAATGTACATTTTTAGATATAACATAACATAAACATATAAGCACTCTAAAGTGAATAAGAGAGATCGAAGAAATTATGAGAATTTAGCAATCAAAATTCAAGAAAAATAAAAAACATATATTATTATTTGTATTATACCAGCATCGTGAATTGGTATGTCGATTGTGGTAATGTAATAAAGTAGTAATGAAATGCTGAACAATTCTGAGGCACTCTACAAACTACCATAAACATAACAATAAACGCGTCTACTATTTGTTGTCATTTTTTAAACACCAAATGAACGCTTATTAAGAGAGGCACTGTTTCCCGACAGTGACACAGTCGACTCAGGTTCAAGAACCATCGAGCATCACCATTTTCTGTATTTAGGCTGAAAACGACATGCCACAGAATTTTTAAATTTGGTGAAATTACAGGCACATGGGACTTGTCAACTTAAGTCTCAGGGTGGCGGACGCAGTGGCAGTGCCCCTTAGATCTTTGCGATTTAAAGCTCTGAGTGGCACTGGAACTGTTATGGACAGGCGTGTAGCTTACCATCAGGTGCACGACTTGTTCGTCCCGTCACTTAATATTTAAACCAAAAAACAAAATCTGTCCACCACAAATTGTTATTATTTAAACATCTGCCTCCGTTGCCGAACGGTTACCATGCTGGACTGCCACGCAGAGGTCCCAGGTTCAATTCCCAGGTCGGGAGAAATAGCTGTATGGCCTACATTTATTTCTCTCGTGAGTTTGGGTGTAATTTGTGGTCGTCTATGTGTGTGTCCATGGTACCCGCGACACAGGGTTTCCCTAGTGCAGGCTATGTTGAGTGTGTGCGTTATTATTATTTAAATATTTCTTTCAAAACTAAAGTTCCGAGTTTAAACTCTATTAGTATCATAAGATAAGCAGTTTATTAAACTGCCATAAACATTCATTCGCGCGAGAATAGAAGGTAAACTTGAAAACTTTCTACTTAAGATTCTATGTTATATTGTACAAAACCGGAAAATCAACTTTTAGAACTAGTACTATTACATCATAATGAACTTAGATGTAACCTTAATTAAACTCTAAGATCACCTACGGAGATAATATATGTTTCTTTACAAGCATACATTCTAAATGAAGAGACACAACTAAAGCCGCCAGCGCCCGAAACGTTAGTTTAAAAATACAAGAAAAATATAACCCGCATTCTTTTTTTTATAATATCAAGTCGTGCGCCTGGTGGTAGGCTACACACCTGTCCATAACAATTACAGTGCCATTTATAGTTTTAAATCGCAAATCACCCTGAGACATAAGTTGACTAGTCCCATGTGCCTGTAATTTCACCAGCACCCTTACCTTCCAAAACCGGAACACAGTAACGCTGACATTACTGCTTGGCGGCAGAAATAGACAAGGTGGCAGTACTTCTCTGGACGAACTCTTACACAAGGAGCTCTACTGCTACTTTCCAATTCTTGTAACTCTATCTACAATATTAGTCGGTACAGTTACAAGAATTTTTTTATATATATATTTTTCTGTATCTAATGGAGCAACAATCGTTTTTGACGTAACTTCACTTATGCCATTCTTCCGTGAGGGGTGCGATACGCGATTTAAATAGCAGTAAAACTCTTTTTGAAAGAGGCCGTCCAGGGAAGTACTGCCACCTTACCTGTTTCTGCCGCCAAGCAGTAATGTAATCATCATTGCGTTCGGGTTTTGAAATGTAAGGGTGCTGGTGAAAATTACAGGCACATGACACTTGTCAACTTATGTCTCAAGTTGACGGGCGCAGTGGCATTGCCCGTCAGTATTTGTGATTTAAAGCTTTGAGTGGTACTGGAACTGTGTCGCTTATCGCCAGGCGCACGGCTTGTTCGTCCTGTCACTTGCTATCATAAAAAAAACCACGAATGCTACATATAATTAGATAATCTCGGTCAGTCATCGTGCGCCTAGCCTCATTTTAAATCAATCGTAACCATGTCGTAACTTTTCGTTTCGTTTCGTGGTGTTCTTTATTTAAAAATGGTATTCTAGTTAATGAAGAAAAATAGAACTATATTCCAAGAAGGTGACGATTTTGGGTAAACAACCTTCGGAAGCCTGCTGAAGCGTCCCGAAGGCTGCCGAGGCATTACTTACTAAGCTTACCGCAGCTCTGTGTTCGTAGCTACAACCATTATAATTAAAATTGCAACTATAATTTGACAATCACGTTGGCTCAGTGGTTTGTACTGTGGGCACTGGATAAGAAGGTCCCGGGTTTGATTCTCGGTAGAACCAATTTGAGAAATATATATATATATTTTTAATTGGTTCTGGCCTGAGTGTTCCGGAGTAAATTCTATTAGTTCTGGTACTCATAGTACAGGCAATTCCCTAGTTTAGGACCTAATTCCGGTATTATTATTAAAATGTCATAACAATTAATAGTATAATATATAATAACGCACATCCTCATAGCCCTGCACTAGGGAAACCCTGTATCGTGGGTGTCTTGGACACACACACACACACACACACACACACATAGGTAGACAACCACAAATTACACCCAAACTCACGAGATAAATGAATGTAGGCCATAAAAATATTTCTACCGGTCCCGTAATGAAACCCGAAACCTCTGCATGGCGTTAACTAATTATTATGTATATATCGCACTTGACAACTAACATAGTATTATCTCAAAAATTGCGTTAAATTATATTTTATCTCAAAATTGCGTTATATTAATAATTTATCTGCAAAATTTATATTTGTATGCCATTCGTATACGATTTAATTTCAAAGTAACAGGACAACACTGTCGCTTTGTCACCACCGCGAAGTCACGTATCTCCGTTTCTGAATGAAGCTAAAACACTAAACATGTCGTCGCGAAGATACTCCCATTTAGCCACGCTTCTATTTGGAGTGATAAAAAGCAAAAAACCTTTTTACCTCCATGAACATCTCACATGAACAAATAGACCGCGCACCTGCAGGTTTCCACTCTGCGTTCCAAAACACAAAACTTCGGCATATAAAGGCAGTTTTAAATATTCCGCGGCGAAAATCTGGAACAACATACCGCCACCAATACGTTCTTCACAATCCGTTTATGCGTTCAAATGTGAACTCAAAGAGCACATTCTAAATCTAGAAAACACGTCTGGAACAATTTTATTTGTGTAATGCGCCTCCAAAATACAAAATTAAAAATAGAAAGCAGAGTGAATCTTTGTTGGACATTAGCTGAAATTTGTGTTATGTAATGTTTCCTATTTAATTACATTGTTTCATGTTTAAGTTTTTATTTAACTCGCGTCCAAGTTTGTTTTTATTTTATTCATATATTTTTATAACTTTTAATCGGCATTTTCGAAAAGGGTCCAGTGAAAACCAGCGCTGTGGCCCAGCCGCAGTCTTAGCTGAGTTGGGTCCTTTTCAGTGCAATAATACACTTTTAATACTAATTATTAATATTGTACTCCACGTGTATTGTGCTGAATAAATTACTTTTCTTTCTTTCTTTCTTTCTTGCTTTGAAATTAAATAGGTAATATTAATATAACGTAAAGCAATATTCAGATAATACTATGTTAGTTGTCATGTACGATATCTATTTTATACATTAACTATTCTTCACTTAAAAATTGCCTTGACAATGAGTTGATAATGATCTTAAATTACCACCCTTACTTCTACTAGAACCGAGTAACTTAAGACTAATTTCACAAATACTCAAAGAGTATATCCAAACACAAGCTAATTACAAACTTTGCCCATTTAGACGTCTAGTAAATGATAAACAAACTTTCCCTGTTTATTTAGGCTCATCCAACATACGTACGTCCACGATGCTCAACTTGGTATTCTATAGTGTAGCAACCTGTTTGAGTACCTCTAATATTACTTAATTGAATACTTAATTTCTTTATGAATTTGCGAAATCATCTTTTACATTAATGTCACGCCAATTATTTACAATTTAGTCAATTTGGGAAATGGACTTTCCTAAATTGTTTCTGATGTGAATGTTTAAGGTAGTGAACGCCGTTGCTCTGGTACTCATAATACAGGTAATTCCATAGTTCCGAGACCAGGTGATTGGTGGGGTTGTTTGACACATTATTAATATTATTATAAAATTGTAATAAGTCGAAACACTTTTATGCTCTGGCCGCACTTAGGCGGCCGTGGGAGCGATTCGGGCGCGGGAATTGTTGTAATATACGAGTTCATATTTATG